GATCAGTAATCCATGATCTATTCAATCAGTAATCTATGATCTAGTCAGTCAGTAATCCATGATCTAGTCAGTCAGTAATCCATGATCTAGTCAATCAGTAATCCATGATCTAGTCAATCAGTAATTCATGATCTAGTCAGTTAGTAATCTATGGTCTAGTCAATCAGTAATCCATGATCTAGTCAGTCAGTGACTCCTGACAGACAGACTGTTCTAAGATTTATACTGCTGTGTGAATAGAACTTGTCTGGTGTGAAGCGAATACGCCATCCACTGTACAATCACCCACCTCTCTAGTTTTCTGCAGACCATATAAATTATTCACTTATCACTTCTCAGGAAACATTTGATGAAGAAATAGAAGTGTACGAGCATCGCTTGGAGCAAGTTTACAAATTGTGTTTGCGATGTGAGACTGCTTTACGAAGAGAATTACGAACACAAAACAGAAATTTGAAATCTAAAATGTTGGGAAAGCGTTTGAAAGAATCAAGTTTAAAAAATGTTTCTATTGTGAGTATATATAGTTTTGTTTCAACTTTTCATTTTTTCATGACCGTCAAATATAATGGTCTCAAGACCCCATTAAAGCTTCAGGTATGATTCCAGAGTAAAACTTTATATTAGAAATAATATTACCAATTATTAAAAACTTTTAAGCACCATTATTGTTTCTGTCAAATTTAAAGTAATAAATTTAAAGTAAAATATTCGTCAGAATTTAGACTTTTGTCAGTTATTTAAGAAATTTATGTATGGAGGATGAAATGAACAGGAGCCGAAAATGTGAGCGCAAAAATAATGCTAAAAAAATATTATTTTTATCTTAATTTTTTTGATGCCCGCCGCATAACAAATCCAAGTTGCATTTTTGTGGGAGTATCATGATCATCAAAGTACCAAATCTAATGGGAAAAAAGAATTAATTTTATTTTTTTTCTGCCCTCCTCAAAAAAATTGCCTTATAAAAGAAACAAGGAATAAAAAAAAGTCTGGCCTTACATCCAACTTGTTCACTTGTGTGACAATATTCTGATTTCTGTTTATTTCATTTTATCCAAACTGTTAATATTGTTTGCAGTGGGTTTGAAAAAAATACAGAAATAATTAATATGCAAATTTTTAGAGTTAAGTAAATTGAATAACTTAACTTAGCCTGTACTTATGATCTGTCAAAATATAGAATGTTGAGGAATGTGGCAGTCGTCTCCGTAGTTATATTTGTAGCAGATTTTCTGTTCAATTTAAAGTTGATTTGTTTTGTGTTATATAGAGCATATACCATCCAGTATTATCTCTACCATGGAAAGTCAAGCTCGTGCGTGCTTGTACAGTTATTATTAGTTTATTGTGTTTCCTTGGTAACATGGGAAGTAACCATGGCAATGCTGATGGATCAACAAAATATGATGCAATAAAAGGTGAATAAATCATTTTCTTTACAAGAAGAAAAAAAAATAAAGGATTGTTGTTGATGGTCTTGATTTTTATTGTAATTTTCTTTTTTTGAGTCAATATCCAAATAAGAATACGTTTATGCAATAAAGATTATTATAATTATTATTACATTTCACTTAATGGTATATTTCAAAATTTAGCTCAGGATCCCAATTTTTTTGGGACTTCTCAAAATGTAAATTGTGGAGAGTAGCCTTTAAAATCCTCTATTAAAAATTTCTCAGTCATTGCTATACATGTATGATTGATATTCTATAATTAACAACATTATGGTATGTCAATACACCTTGTATATTTGACAAGTATATGGAATTACAGTTATACATGTATAGCTATTTTGTCAATAATGATATTTCTTGTCGTGTCATATGGCTTACAGTACATACATAGGATTCCATTAGTACATAACGTCAGTTTGTGTTGACTGGCGGCCATTTTGTTGTTTTTCACTCCCGTGTGCCAACGGGAGTCTTTGCGGTTAGCCTGTCTGTATGTGTTTGTGTTCGTCTGTTCCACTGATATTTCAAGAACCACACATTGGTTTTTGATGAAACTTGGTGCATATATGCTCTGGCATATGCGCAGATTTGATTAGGATTTGGTAAAAATCTATGCATATTAATTTCCTAATTTGCATGATAATTAGCTAATTTTTAGCTGTTCCATGACTGACCGCTGATATCTAAAGAACTACTCATTAGATTTTGATGAAACTTGGTACATAGTTGCTCTGAACTTATGTGCAGATTTGATTAGTTTTGGATAAAAATCTGTTAATATTAATTACCTGATTTTCATAATTAGTTTTCAGCTTTTCCATCAATATCTCAAGTAATTTTGAATTAATTTTGAATGTGTCTCCAATACTCTCAGCACACAGGAGTTCTTTCTAAGTTTTCTTGTATTGACTTCCCTCTGTGTTGTATGTATGTCTGTTCTACGGGTATCGCAAGAACCACTAATCAGATTTCATCAATTTGCATATTAATTACTGTGAAATACTTTATTTTCGCTGGAATTTTCGCTGAAAAAGCTTTTTGGGCGTTTTGTATGGACTTTATTTTCACTGATTTTTGATGAGTTTAATGTGAAATATAGGAAAAAAAGTATATTCGCTGGATTTTATTTTCGCGGAATCATCCTTTCAGTGAAAATAAATTCCAAGCAAAAATAAAGTATTCTACAGTTGTCAGTTTTTTTCCACTGATATCATCACATTTCAATGAAAATTGTTACATAGATTCTCTAGAACAATGCACAGATCTAATCAGTTTTAGGTAAAAATCTGTGCATATAAATTTCCTAATTTGCATAATAATTAGTCACTATTTGACTTTTCTGCTGATATCTCAAGTGTTAAACATCTTATTCTAATGAATCTTAGTAAATAAATGCTCAATCTCTAATGTGATGACCCAATTAGTTTTAGGTTTAAATACGTCTATAATAGTTTTATGTTGAAATCTAAACTAAATCATGAATATTAGTTATCTAATTTTTATAAGCCAATTTCCAATAGTTCGCTAAATTGAACTTGTGGTACAGGTGCACTGAAATAAATCAGACTACAAATCACAGAATTTTCTGTGAGTGATTATAAATACTGTAGAATACATTGTTTTCATTTTGTGTTTTCATTTTGTGAATCAGACCAATATTAATCGTCAAGCTTCTTATTTGAACGGCTAATCTTAAATTTTGAATATATTTAAAAGTACATAGGAGATCTTTCTGAGTTTGTTTTTTTCAACTCCACTGTTATTGTAGATGACAGGGCGGAGCTGTTCGTATAGGTCATATAGTTGTCCATCATCCGTCAAAAATTGCATTTTTGACTTCTTGAAAACTACCAGCTCAGTTTTTTATTTCTTGGAAACTATTTTGTGACAATATCTTCAATTTCCTGTTTTGGGTGAATATTTGTCATTTTTGGTAAAAAAAGCTATTTTCAACTACTTGAAAACTACCAGCTCAATTGCTTTGATACTTGGTATGGTAGACCTCTGTCAGATTTGTTCTTCTCAACAGTCAAGATGTGTGTTGCTCAACTTGGTTACCACAATGTTTTTGTAGAACAGCTAAGCTACTTCAGCTGTCAGGTTGCTTGTTTATTTTACAAATCTCATTTCTCAGATAAACATTCACAGATTTTGGTCAAAAGACATGACAAGGCATAATAAAATGCATGATTCTCTCAGCTACTTTTGAATTCTAATAAAATTTAACCCACTGGCAGCTATTCCTGTCAAAAAAATAAATTCACAAAATTTGAACTTGTCATCAACAGTGATGTGTTACTGATGTGCTTCAGTTTGTTTAGTAATTTGATACAAAATGGCCGACTGGTGGCCATGTTTATCATTTTCATGGGTCCATTTCCATGGCATGTTTTGACTTTTTTTGTTCAAAGCCAAGTACAAAGACATGGTGTTCATTTGCATATTTGTTTCAACATGTCATCAACCATTTTACCTAGTGTAGCAATTACAGTGTCTGTGTAAATAATATTAAAATGGACATCATATGGACTGAACAATCCTAGAGATACATTGTACATGCAATAAAACATACTCACTTTATTTAGTTATTCATAATAATAGTAATGATATCTTAGACTATGTATTCCTTTTTTCAAAAACTGGGACTATGACATTTAAGTTTTATTATTCCAAAACTAATATGGGCACCCCAAAATTTGTCTTAAGACTTTGAAATAGCCATTCATAGGGAATCACTTTTAGGAAGTTTATGCATGTTAGTCTCATTCATTCTGAAAGCATTTTTTTTTTTTCAGATGTTTGTTTTCCTTCAAAAGATATTTTATATGTATATATTAATATGGGACTTTTCACGTCTGTTATAAGCAGTTTTATTGCTGGCAAAGACAGGTATGTTTATTGAATATAATACGACAACTCTAGAAGAGCAGACAGTTGATGAAATTGCCATGACAACAGTGCCCTAGACTGTGCCAGGACCTTTAGAGCTTGCAGTCTTGCAACTCTTATGATAGGATTTGTTAACCAATCACTGAGTACTTATTTTGCAATGTAGGATGTAACATGGATTCTGATTGGTTAATTGTTGTCAGACAACTATACTGATGTCTAAATAAAGAAACTTCTATTTTGATTCTTCTAGAATAAGTGGTGCTGATGCAGGTCTACCGTTTCTATGGTTACTGTTGCTATGTATGCATTCTGGAGCTAATGAGTGGTTTCCGTCTTTACTTATTCTTGTGTTAGAGAAGGTTTTGATGCCTTTACTGTGTTTGTTTGTTTCACTACTTTGCCTGTTGCAGAACAGAACGATTCAACCTCCTCGGTCTATGAAAAAAAGGTATTTGTATAATTATCTGTCTTCTTGAAAACTATTTCCACTTAGGCAATCTGAATTTTTTATATAATTAATTATTCACTGGGTTTTAATTTCACTATTTTTGCTGACAGTAAAATTCACAGAATTAAATTCACATGGACATGTAAAATAACAATAGAATTTGTTGCAAATTTGTTCACATTATCAAAATAGTGAAAATAAATGGTTTTACAATAAATTTATACATGACAATTTCCCATTCGCAATGTATACTTGACAGATTGCACACTTAGTTCATTGTGGGAGTCCCATGGCTAGTTTTCCCTTGTATCTCAGTTCCATTGAATGTGTCATCATCTCCATAAAAAAATCTTCCAATAATAACATGTCATCAATTGTTTCTTAGGCATACCAAACACCATACTGAAGGATCACTACCAACTGCCAACAGGGATTGTTTCATTGTTTGTAATCATTTTTTTTTTTTTTGAATTTTACAGGAAAAGTTTCGACTCATTCTCCAATATGTCTTCCCTGTCATGTGATAGCAGTCTCTGTAGCTCATTGGCTGATGATTGTGAAGCCTCAGTGAGGAATGATGACATATATGCACCTTCATCCAATCACGAAAATAGTGGGTATCTAGAAACTGCTTCATTGAAATCATTTGTGTCTACCAATCCAAACAAACCATGTTATGGGTATGCAGAAACAGGATCATTAAACTCACTTGCATCAGCCAATCAAAAGACACAGAACTATGAACACCTAGAAACAGCATCCACAAAATCCTTTGCAGCAACCAATCACAGGGGATTGAACAGTAGTTTTTTGGAAACAGTACCAACAACTCCTAAAAAGGGCTTATTTGATGAGCCATTAGACGCATTGTCACTGGGGCCTCCTTCAAATACTAAGAGAAGAGACTTGGGTAAGTTCCATTTCTACTAGTTGTAATGTTCAATCAATGTTCTGTGGTTCACAGTAATCAGATAAATCGATTCCTATTAAGGATTCAAAATATTACACAAGCTCTCCTTTCCTGCTTGACATCCAGCTGTACAAATTTGATGGGTGCTAGCTTTCAATGTGTCAATGATGTCTTTGTCTTTTACAAAATATTATAAACTTTCTCTTTAATTTGTGCACGTTTCTATGGTAACAGCATCATAATCTGTTTTCATGCTTTACAGGAATGTGGTCATCCCATGCTGTGAAATGTGGAGAAATTACAACTAGACCTGTTACCATGGCAATGGCATCTTCATCAATGTGTAAACGCACATCTATTCTTTGTCCCTCAAGGTTCAACTTCTCCTCTCCAGCGCAAGACTCTAAAATAACTACATCAAAAGAATTGTTTTCATCACAGGAGACTACAGGTAAGAATCAACACAATCTATCATGTCTAACAAGTTAAAGATGTACATAGAGCTTCTGAATTCCATCACAATGACAGACTGGTCTGACAAATGTTCTCTCAATCTTAACTTATTTGGTATTACTTTGATTTCAGAGCAACCCAACTCTGATTCATCTTCATCTTCATCATCCATTGGTAGTCATAGTAACCAGATGACTAATTCTGAAAATGCTGTCAACTGTATAAAGCAAGGTGAGTCATCCTGGATCAGTTTGTGGGAGAGATTTAAATTTCTTTGAATGGGAAATATTCATGGTCATCAACTATGTTAGATTTATTTTATTTTTAACACCATGGAATTTGTATAAATCATAAGTCTGTCATCTTCACATTTCAACTCTGAATTTTTTTGGCTGGGCTGTTTTCATTTAAACTTGGTCACATCTTTATTCTTGGTAGGTGATAAAATCTGAAAAAATTCCTACCCCACCATTCCCTTTCAATTCCATGGCAACAGCCAAAACACTGAAAAAGCGCCAAATGTATCTCCTCCTTTGTCTTGGAGTGAAAACTTATCTCAGCTTGAGTGTGGACCCAAAGTTACTATTACATTTTTTTTTGATAATTTCTTCTGTGATTTTTTTGGGGGCCTGGGCCAATATTGGTCAAACTTGACAGGCCCGTAACACCTGCACACTAACTAGAAAGGTAGACAAATTTAAAAAAATAGTTCCACTGTTGCCATGACAATGATGGTCGTAGCTTTGCGCTAAATGTATCCTCATACAAATCTTTGAGTTAAAATTTCGGATATACCTTCTAATTTGCTTGAGTGTGTGCCTAAAGTTACTATCTTGTTTTTGAGTTGCCGCCAGTGATTTTACTGACTGCACACAAACAAGATGTGCATTCAGTGCTAGCCTGAGTCGCTATTTACACTCAACTTCATTGGTTAAAACTGTTGTTAATAAACCTCTATAGAAGTCTCTTGTCTGTATTGATAAGCTGGTCACACCTGGACTCTAGTTCTGTCCTACCATTACCATTGACATCACATGTAAAAATGATCAACCTTCCAACTTGTCCAATTATTTGTTTATTATTATAATCTGATCATATCCATTTGCCTGTCCAAAATAAGTAACCTGATTTTATGTGTGTTTTTTTCCCTTTCAGGTGTTTTCAGTCGGTCATACATCTGGCAGTCTTTGCTGGCATTGAGTGCTAGTGTTAATCTGGTAGTTCTTAGCTATGTTGCCATCAATTATACATCCATCTTAGGACAATGATATACATGTATAGAAATATTTAAATATATATATCTATGGTCTTTGGTGGGAATGTTTATTTTTTGAATTAAGAAACATCACCTGTGTCCTCTAATATTTGTCATGTATTTTTCTCCATCATCTTTTTCATCCTATTTATGTTTTGTAAATAAAAAAATGTTTAATATGTACAACTGAAATTGTTGTCAGTTTGTGCCTCAGAAGTGACCTTTGTTGACTCGTCTCCTGATGTCATGGTTACACCATTCAGTAATTTATTTAATCAAAAATATAAGCTTCTGAGTATTAAATAATTTGTTGAACCTACATATGGGTAATCATGATGTAACCATAACGATACATGACTGGCCAGTATGCTTTAGATGTATATTGAATTCCACATCTCCTATCACGCAAACGTTTGCATAGTGTAAAACATAAACAACAGAGAGCAGTATACAGGCAGAATTTTCAGATGGGACTTAGGGTAGGTTGGTTGGAGTTTGGAAAATACATGTATGAACTACAGAGGGCAGTATACAGGCAGCATTATAGGGAGAGACATGGAAATGGCAGGTTGGTTTAATCATAGTCCCTCTATCCCCGGTCTGGAAACGGTCATTGTATTAGGTGTGAATTGCCTCCTTCCCTGGCAAAGGCGCATTGCGGGGTTGGGCAAAGCATTGTCACGTGATCAGTACATGATTTGACATCGTCAGTGTTGTGTATTTTTTTACAACTTAGTTGTTTATTCCAGAATTCGTGCTTTTTCACATAATTTTTTAATCAGGATATCTTTATAAGGTCATATTTTAGCCGGTGAGTAGTTCTTTAATTCATCTATTTCACCAGCAGCGACACATTTTCGCAACAATTTTACAAACCTTTACCCAGATATTTGTCGTTTTTTGATTTTGGGGTGATTGAAATAATCTCTATTTTATTTACCATACTCCTCGGCGCGAAACCCATATTTGTCTTCGATTTTGACATTTTATGATCGAAATATATCATCAAAAATTGGTGGGTTAGTTTGTTATTTGTCACACCGCATTTTATTAATGTTGAATTGAGCGACTTTTATGGATGCCTTTTAGATCGTAAATGCAAATGGTGACGTTTTGAAATGACAATGTACTCGATTCTGTGCTAAAAAAAATCATTTATATACAACATTAAAGCATTGTTATATACTTTTGCATAGAATAAAGTTATTAGTTGTTGTATAGTTGACTTGAACTGTTACAAACCCCCCAAGAATCAGAAATATCACAGGTTTTTCGATCGACAACGTGAACGACGCCATTTTGACAAGATTTGTTTAGCGATGTCAGCATGTTGGCACGCCAAGTTTTTTCCCCATTAAAACGAAAATGATCATAATTCCCGATATTAATCTTTGCATTGCAGGAAGTGGATGTTTATGAGTTGGTAGGCTGGTTGTATCAGGGTTCTAAAAACCCAAATTTCATAGTGATAATTTTGTTTACATGTT